CTTATCTTATCTTATCTTATCTTATCTTATCTTATCTTATCTTATCCTATCTTATCTTAACTTATCTTATCCTATAATATCTTATTTATAGTCTGGTCCCAGATGATATAGGGTAAATTTGGTGATCCACTATTTTACATACAACATACAAAACTGTTCTCAGCTCAGTTATTTTGCCATAGAGCCCACCTGCCCGCCCACCCGGCGCGCCTCTAAACATAAATGCAACACACCCTGCCACTTTTTTATTTTGAGGGGGGAGGAGTTAAACAGCTGGATTCTCCGAGCGTCTCGTGGCGACGGTACATCGGGATGGACCACATGTGTAAGGGGATCGGACCCGTGCAGCTCCAGGAGAAAACAGAGAAGTTCAGCACAGAGAAGAACCGGGAGCTGTTGTGGAAACTCTGAGCAGCAGGAGTCCGGCGAGGAGCAGCTCTGAGGCGGCAGAGGTGTGGAGCACAGGTCGGCCTGCTCCAAATCATCCAGGAGGAAAACTTGGCAGCTGACGGAGGCAGAAGGTGAGTTATTGATTCTTTCTGCAAACAAGAGGCTGAATATCTGTACGTGTGTAAATTAAATACGAGAAGACCCATAGTGATGTGTAGTAGATGTTATAACTTATTTTCAATGCAAACCAAAAATGTTTTTCATCGCTGAAACACAAGCAGAGAAATCCATCAGCTCTGGATCACAAATCTGGAAGTAAATGACCTGTGGAAGTAAAACCATTGGATTGTACCGCGTGTGTTTTGCTTTCAATAAGTCATATTGAGTAATATGAACGAGTCTTTATACCTTTAAACCAATGTGAGCATCACATTACTCTTACTACAGATTACAGCTGAACCTATAAGTCAACTAATCGATTAGTAGAGCAACAGAAAATCAACCTCCACCTATTTTCATAATCAAATAATCACTTAGGAGTTTTTTAAATCTTGTTTCAGCCTCTCAAATGTGAGAATCTGATGCTTTTCTTTGTCAGAAATGATAATAATCTGAATATTTTGGTGGATTTGACAGATCAAACTACCTGAGGATATAATCTGTGACTCCAGACAACTGCAACAGGAAGTTCTCACTAATTGGCAGATTAGACAATAATTAAAGTAATTGTTGGTTGCATTTCTTACTCGGATTTCTTTCACCGGCAGGGCTTAATGATGATTACTCTCTCTCTCTTATTTCCGTAGGTGAATGATCCTGACCCACATCCCATCTCCACTCATTCAACCAGCCAAGAGGCAACATCTGTCCTACATGTGTCCCATCTACCATCCTCCGCCTTCAAGAACATGAACCCATGCAGGCGTCAGTCACACTCATTTAAATGTTAGTACTACTTGAGCAGATATCACTCGGCTGGCCGAAGAGGAAGAAGAAGAAAGGGACTGTTAAAGGTGCAGGGAGATGTCTGTGTGGATGATACTGCCTGTGAGCCTCCCAGCTCTGACCATCACTGGGATATGGGTTGTGTAAGTGCTATTTTTTTTCTTTGTCAGTTCCTCCTCAGTTTGGCTGAGACTGAACTGGTTTGGTCTGTTGTTTTTATTCTGTTTCGACGATGACATGTACTTCATGCTCTGATGTTGTGGCTATTGTGAATAGAGCAACTTCTCTCAAAGTGAGAGTAACACTATTTTACATGAGAACATGTCATGTTTGCTTTGGCAAGATTTATGTGCTACCAGGATAAAAAGAATACCATATCCCTATTGGTGTTACTACATATTACAGTTTTCCCATACATTTCCCACATCACAATATATATATGTGTGTGCAGTAGTGTAATAGCACAAATTTAGTCCAGTCAAACACTCTATATAAATTAGTTTACTGCTTATCAGAACCATAAAAGCTGCTTTTACACACACTGACCAAACAGCCATTTTCAGATTCCCACACTTGCTTTAAAGCTTGGGTTGGTAATCCTGGAAGAACTATGCAACCGATCCATCCCGCTCCCTCCCATCAGCCCCCTCGTCAAAGCTATGCCCCCAAAACACATGAGCATGCACTTCTTGACAACTGCTAGAAGACGACTTTACGCTGACTCGCTCTGCTTCAGTCTGTGTGTCCCCGGTTAAAATCTTTGGTCGTGTGCAGTGGGAGCACAGGCAGGCCGGTCGGTTGGTGACAGACACAGACAGTACACTGACCAATCATTTCACACTGACCAAAATAAATGATTGGTTGTGTTTATTTTTGTGCTGCGGGGGGGCCACAGACACTGTCTTCAAGCAGACACAACTTTATTGATGGTTATCAGAAGGTGAATAGGATTTCACCCCAAAAATGTTTCAGAAACAAAAAAAACCACACCACCTTTAAAACAATTTTTAAAAATGTACTTAAAAACAAAGATGTCTGGTGTTTGCATATCTACTCTACACATTTTTTCTTTTTTATCAGATGCACACACTTGGGCCATAATCTCTACATTACAAATCTGTTATCTACAAGCACAAACCTCTTGACACCTCAGCCTCTTGCCTGCAGGAAAGCAACGCTGCATATTTACCCTGAATTCCTGGGCGCCATGGAAATTGCCATGTGGATTAACTCTCTCCAGGAAGCATCTGGGATTATCACCCCCTCACTTAAAAGTGAAGCTTTGTAGCTCAATTATCTGCAGTATCGGAGCAGATGTACGGCAGGGAAAAGAGTGACTCCTGGTTATGTCTGGGCTGACAGCTCTCTTGTCTGCTATGTTATTACTGTGGGAGGAGGAACCCAACCCCAGGGGGAAGAGAGACAGATGGCCCAATTCCAAACTGTCGTAGTCCTGTATTTAGGCTTTGTGCTACGTCTATGATGAGATGCGTGGGGAGTTCACAGTCTAATCAGATGCCAGAGCTAACATCTTACAGTTAGTGCTTGTGAGCATGGCTGCTTCACAGTTGGGAGTGTGTATTCAGGTGTGCAGGGCTTCCCTGGAAAGTGGGTCCATCTAGGTGGAGAACACACGGGTAAAATACTGCCTCTGATCTTGTTTTGGCATTTTGTTCCCAAGATAGAAAGTTAAAATGGCAAACGCTGCTGACTGTCCCTTCCTTTTCACCCATTTCCTTCCTGTTACCTTGACAAGGCATCCTTGTTTCTAAGAGCAGTCGAGGGTCTCTTATTCTAGACTCGTGGAATGTCAAAGGATGTGAAATGTTGCGCAACCCCCCCTCTTTCACTGTGGCAGAACAGGCAAGAGTAAGGTTCTAGTAGAAGGGTTCACAGAGAGTGTAGGCAGAACTTTGACTCAGCATCTGTCGGCCACTTCCAGAGTACAGACGGAGGCAAATCAGTCCTGTGCCCACACACAAATCTTGTCTCAGATTCTTTCTCTGACCTTCTGCGAGTAAGGAATGTTTTAGAGTTTCAGTCTGGCTCTGTTGTGAGGAACACTTGTTGCGGTTTTGGATTTTTTTTAGCTTCAAGGTTTTTAAGCTATGTTTTGCTTTAAAATGTTTTAAAATAAACCTATGTATTAGGTCCTACAGCAGCCAGTCAGAGAAGCTACCGGAGTCTAGCACATCTTGTGCCAAAATCCATCCAGAGCCTTTTTATGCATCACACCCTTTGCTGTGGTTTCTCTTCTTTTTCACTGTTTAAACCACATTTTTTTTCATGAAAGACTTTCCTAAATGTTATTCATTGAATGTTGAATGAAAAAAACCCATCTCTGTTTCACCTATATATTGCCCACGGACATGTAATTACAGTTTACAACCACTGCTGAGCTTTGATAGAGGTCTAATTATGTAAACAAACCTATTATTACTCAGCCTCCTTGGAAGAATGCACCAGTTTGAGCAGTTTTATTCAGAAATTTCCCAGAGCTGCTGGGCCGCTCTTTTAGTCTTTGGCAGACGACCAAACTTACAAAATAGGCCTCAACATGGAAAATGTAATGGCAACAGTTGGCCGTCATTTATTTTCCTGTATTGTTTCTAATGAAGTCCCCTGGTAGATCTCTATTTGTTGTTATCTTTTGTTTTCATAAAGTCGGTGTTACTCTACTGTGGTTTAAGGACTCAGAGCTGGAGCTCTGGCAGACTCTTACCTGACGGCCATGTTCTATACCACAGGTTTCCTCGGTGCTTAATGCCAGAGCATTGCAGACAACATGTCTGCCATTTGGCTTATGTGATTTTCAAATGGTGATTCACATAGCATAATGCCAGCTATACCAGCCACCTTCTATAGCAGGTAGTAAATATCAGACGTGCATTTTGCAGATCACATGCAGGGTTTCAGTTGTAAAGTAATGACTTGAGAACATGAGGAAGTTGAGCCACAAACAGACAGAACAGTGGTGTTTTTGGGCGAGTGGTGGAGCTGGGGTGAAACATGCAGGAGGCAGGACATGATGTATAAATTCTGCTGCATGATTTTGTTCACAACATCAGCGTCGGCCCTAATCACCAAAACTATTGAATCCTGTTTTTAAAAGTTGACATTTTCATCTTCATCTGCTTCTTCTACGTGTGTGACTCCTCTCCTGTATGATGTCACATAATTATGCATCTGTATGTTTTATGGGCTAATGGAGAGATCATAATATTTGTGTTATATATGGTCACTTCTTTATTGAGCATTTTTACAGGACTTTTACTACTGATGCAGTAGATCTTGCTCGTGGCCTCGTGCCCTGGTTTTTCTTCTAATTAGGTTCTCATAACTGTGTTACACTGTGTATCACACTGTAGTATATGTTCCAGTGAAGCATGAGACTTTGAACACTAATCTGGATGTTCAGGTTGCTGGATTCTACTGGTAGGTATTGTTGACCACTATCTTTGTCACGCAGAAATGAGTATTTACTTCCAGTGAATCTTGGCACAGTCTTGACTGATTTGTTGATTACACGTGTCTATGTGCTTATTAGCAGCGTGTGTGTGTTTTGATGAAATGCCTCTACCCTTCAGAGACTGGTTTGTGATTATGGGACTATCGACCCCGGAAACATTTGTACTTAACCCCCCACTGAACCGACTGCTTAGAGGACAGAGTCTCTGTGGCTGACTGTGTTTCTTTGTGTCCATCTTTTTCTGCCAGTTGAAAATAATGTTTTGATCTGTGTGTGTGGGTGTATTTATATAGAGCTGTTTCTGTGATGGCCACTCCAAGCACTTTACAGTACAGTCCATTGCCAAGTGCCACACACATTCATACAGTGTATCTTTGGGTAGCACTTTTTCTATGAGCAGCAATTCAGGGTTAAGTACAGGTATCTTTCCCAAGGACACTTCGGCATGCAGAGGGGGAAGACTAGGATCTCCGCAGCTGCCTCTATGTGCAGTGTGTGTGTGCAGTTGTATCTCGATAATTCAATTTCAAAGCACAGTTTGAGTTATTGACTATGTTTCCCTTTGTTCTTTATACCGAGCAATGCAAACCACATTTTGGAGGTAACATTATTAAAGTATCCTAGCTTATAATTTGCAGCTTCAAAATCCTTTTGACGGTGCATTGCCTGTTTATGCGCTGTGGGTATGATGACGTATGATCTCCTGGATCTCCACTGAGCCAAGAAAGTTAAAGAGTAATGCAGAACTGAAAAAATACCAGCAATCGTCTCCGATAGTCAGCTAGGAAACTTTGAGAATATGAATATTTCCAAATAGAGTTTTGTTTGTTTTTTATAGCAACAGTACTTAAAAATTTGAGAAACTATGGCTCATGAGGAATATACACCATGTGGCTGTATATCTGTGGGACTATGCAGTCTGGGCTCTGGTTGAGATTGATAGACTTTGTTTTGTAAACTACTCAAAAGATTCTAACTGGAGCTCAACAGAATTATAACTACCACTTGTAGCTCCACTGGCATTGCTTTAACATGCCGACATGTCTGTCTCATTCATAACTGTAGTTCTATATGACTTGGACATGTTTGGACACAGACAGCTGAACTCATGTTTTGCTGATAATAAAGAGCCTGACACTCTAGCCCTAAGGCAGCATTATGTAAACGTTATTCACCAGGTATGCACCGGTCATCACATAAGCATTTTTTTTTCAGTTGAAAAATAACAATCCAAGTCTTCTCTACTGGACAACCAGTGCAATAGAGACACTTTATAAACCCCCTCAGATCTAGTTTGGTATTTTATCAGCTGATGTAAACACCAATACCAATATATAAGCTGATATCACCCAATATGTCATCTGGCTGAATGTTTGGTTTTTATTTCAGTTGATGATCTCAATCTTGTTATGAGCCACTTTCTTCACTGTTAAAACTTTATTTAAAGTGTGGATGTTAAAACCCAAGAGGCCAATGAACGTAGCAGTTTGGAACACTTCCGCAATATAACAAACATTATGGTCTTTATTTGAGGAACAATGAGTCTCACAGTTTTTATCTTTTGTTCCTCAGGACATTGACTTCTCTGACGATTTATGTGGTCAGTGACCTGATGAAACAAACTCTGCAGCTTGATCTCAGTATTTCAGTCACACCACATTGATTGACATGAGCCAGCCTGTTCTCTCTTCTGCTTCTGAGGTTTGGATAGAGCGATAAGAAGTGATGAGTCAACCTGGTCATGCAGGTTGATCAACAGCATGCTATAATTTGAAAACATGGCATTTAACGAGAAACTAATAATTCGTACTTGACTTTATTTACTTTACAACTGAATCCTGATGTTGTTTTTTCTGTCTCCTGTGAGATTTAACAGAGTGGTTTTCTGAATGATTCTGAACTGAGTCACTCTGGATAACAATGTCTAAATTACTGTAGTTTTACAGTAGAAGTCATTACAACATTAAACTCTCTTACTGGCTGCAGTTGTGTAATTTGTCTAATCACACATCCTGTCTTTTCAGGTATGCCATGGCCCTGTACAACCAGCACATCTGCCCTGTGGATAACTGGTACGTTGCTTAATCTGTCCTGTATCCGTGCTACATCTTGCTCCGTCATACCCCAGCTAATCCCTGCGCACTTTACGAAGTCATACCTTGCAGTCAGGTGATAAGTCAGTGTCAATGTCAGCATATTTCTCAACAGGATGTAATTACCTTGGTTGGTATTTTAATCTCCAGTAATTTCAACTCAGAAATGTTAAGGACTCACATCTGAATCAGCTCAGAACCCTAAAGAATGACACGTGTTCCAGACAAGAATTGAAATATGATCATAATAGTGATAATAAATACATATACACGTTGTTTTGGTTTTGAATCAAATCTTGGTAACTGGTGAGTTCCCAGTAAGAGTGAAGTTGTAGTGATATTTCCAAAACCATAATTTAGATTCATTATTAAAATTCATTTAACACTACTTTTGTAGTGTTTTTTTGATTGGAAGTAATGTCTCCATATATTAGAGTTCTTTCTCAATCATACAGATATCAGCACTCTGTATTAAAACTCCAAAGTAGACCATCATGGAACTGATAACTGATTTATCTCACTGTCTCTGCCTTTAGTTTGAGATAATGTCGCTACTTTAGCATATTGTTGGATAGTCTCCACCTGACTACTTCACTTTATCTTCAATTATGGAGAAGCGTTAGTAATTCTGGGACTGTGAAATTCCTTCATATCTGTTATACTTGGCATAGATCTTAAATTTCATTATTAATTGTCTCAACAAGATTTCACTTAATGAAACCTGCAGTCATTTGATTTTGCTCCATATTTTAACACTGAACTTTGCTCTGTCTTTTTCTCTGTGTGCATGTGTGCGTGCGTGTTTGATGCTCCAGGTTGTACAACCAGTCATGTGAAGAGGAGCTTTATTTGCAGAGCGGGCCAATCTTGTGCTGCACGCTAGACAATGTACCTCTCATCAGGTCAGTGAGACTGGACTCCTCCTCTCCTCTGTGCGTCCTGCTGTCTCCTCTCTGTCTGTCTGTACTTTGTGTGTGGTCATTGACAGGAATACTGTCCCATTGTTTTACATGACTCCTGTCGCCACATTGTTGATAAAATGTGTGGGAGCTTCCAAGAGACAGCTGAGTGTGTGTGTGTGTGTGTGAGAGTGTGTGTGCATTCTGGAAATAACTCGGGGCTGAAATATCCTGCTGCCATCGTGGCAGTACAGAGGAATAAACGTGCGTCTGCTTTTCACCGTGTAAACACTCACACAGCTGAATTGGTTCTGTTTGGAGAAAATCTAGACTACCACTCTTTTGTTTTTATTCTTGGCTCACACATCCCACCAGTTGTAGAGCGTAAATACTGTGGTTTGTGTAAAGAATCTAGAGAAAGTCCTGTAAATAAATCACTGCTTATGTTTCTGTCTAAATGCAAAAAATTGACTGTGCCCAGAAATAAGTTTCCTTCAAACTATGTGACCAACCGCAGACTTGGAGAGAAACTAAGAACTGTCTAAATGTTGCAAAGGGGGTCTTTCCTAACGCAGTTCTGCTGCTGCTGTTGCTTAATTTACTGGTGCAGGTTAAACAGCGTCACCTTATTCTGCTGTTTTCTCTACTACTCACGACTAAGCCGTGTCCTAATTCAGACTTCATGGGTTGGGTCGACTGTGAAAGCCTAACTTAAGTAATGCGGTCTGGTTTACAGAGGTTTGCTGTGATCGGCGTCACCAGTTGGACATGACAAGAAAGTTTTAGTGCCCCTTGTTTGTTATAACATGTGTTGAGTTGAAGCGTTATACTCCACACAAAAGGGCAATGAATTCTGGGATAGGTGGGGCCGGGACCTGTCGGAGCCTTCGTTTCTCAGGGATGCCTTTGAAACAGGACAGCCGAGTAACGCCACTGTTGCGCAATCGGTCTTTAAATGCAGTAGAGACACAGCTCGAGTGTTGCAATCAATAAGTCACTGACTGAAATCAAACTGTCATGTAACTAAATATGAATAAAGTAAATGAACAGAACTGTGTGCGTGCGTGCGTGCGCGCGTGTGTGTGTATGTGTATGTGTATGTGTTTGTGTGTTACACTGCAGTCAGCTGAGAAGTCTTTGTAGGCAGCAGGAGCTCGGGCACAGACGGCCTGTGTTGACTGTCTCCTGCCTTCCCCTCCTACAAACATTTCCCGTTCCTACAAGAGAGGCCGTGTGCAGAAGATAAAAAGTCAAAGGCTTCACGATGGGATGTGAGGAAGCGTAGTTGTACCCACCCCTCACGCCCCCCCCCAGACAACCCACCCACCTCCCTTGTTGCAGGAGCACAAGGCATCTCTAACATGCTATATTTCACAGCGTGGGAGGGGAATGAGTGGAGCTGTTCCTGTGTGGTGTACATAGGTTGATTCAGTGTTTTCTCTGAGTTATTTCTGTGTCCTCTCTCTTGCAGTAAGTGTGGGACTCTTCCCCCTGAGAGCTGCTTCTTCAGCCTCATCTGCAGCACCGGCTCATTCATGGGTAAGGCGTCCCGTGCATGCAACACACACTCAGTGGGCCCCATTTTACACCCAGCACAATGTGGTACAAAGTATGACACAAGTTTCTTTGCTAGTTTTAGACTGAAACAGTTGTTTTCCTATCCAGCGCTCTGTGTTGCTTGAATAGAAAATACACTTTTACCTATTTGAATTTTAAAAAGAGGTGTCCCCAGGTGCATTGCTGGTGCAATTTTCAAAAAAGAAAATACTAAATCAGTGCTGCAGTATCTCACAGTTATTTTCGGCCACATTATCTGAATAGTTGAATGCAAATGGTGCTCATGTACAGTGCACATACTCTGCTTGTTATACACACACACACACACACACACACACACACACACACACA